AGAAAGTATTTTAAGCTGGACTCTTAATGCTGATGGGACTCCAAGGAGGTGCGTTCTAATGCTAATTGGCTTGCTTGAAGACAGGTGAGCCTTTAAATGTGGGTAGGTTGATTCAGTTGAATTTCTGCCAAGGATTCATTCTTTTTAATATTTACGTTTGTTAAACATCAAAAATTAACAAGACAAACACAACTTTTTAATGTGTTCAAGACACCTTAAAATGTGTTTTGAAAAAAGAAAAAAAGAGACCTCTAGTATTTATTAAACTTCTCTTAAAAATATGTAGTGCCACCATTGTTCAGATTCATAGTTGTGGCATTTATAAAAATCACCTCCTGCCGTGTAATTTATATGTCCCCAGCACTGCAGCCACATTTCCTTAGATATTAAGTAGCTTTAGACTTAGACAAATCTTATTTTCGTTTTGTATGCACAGAGTGTATACAAAACAAAATTTTGTTGCATACAGCTTAAAACATTTTAAATATAAAGTGCAGCAGTGATCAGAAAGCAAACAATGTAGGAGAAAAAAAAACAATTTAAAATAATGGTGCAAAAGGGCATTCATATGAAAAAGTTCAGTGCAGTGCAAAATAGATATGGTGCAAAATGCTGTAGAAATATTGAGTTGTGTCCTGTTTAAAAGGATTATAAAAGTATAGCAATGTCGGCAGTGCAAAATAAAGATGCAGAATCCAGTTTAGAGTTCAGCAGTTCAACAGTCTGATGGCAGCAGGGGGAAAAAAGCTGTTGCAGAACCTGCTAGCCCTGCAGTAGATGCAGTGAAGCCTCTTCCCAGAGGGTAGCACGGAGAACAGTCCATGGCGGGGGGTTTGAGGGGTCACTAATTATGTTACGGGCTCAGGACACACAGCACTGCGATGAGATGTCCTTAACGCTTTAGCTTTAGTTCCTCAAGCTGTAAACTGCCACAGAACACCATGTGCTAGCTAGATGCAATGATTTTAGAACACGCTCACCGTGTAACTTTGGAGTAAAATAAACAATGGTTTAATTAAGCTAAGTATTAGGTTTGTAAGTCTAAGTTTTTGCAAAAAAAAAAAAACCAGTCAGGATAGTATGAAAGAAATTCTTCTCATTGGAAAAAAATCAATGTTCACACCTCAAAAACACATTTTATCCAATAAATTCAGAAGATGATCGTTTTTTTTGGTGAGTGGACTTCCAACTAAGCTTGTGCAGCATCAATGCCATCAATAGTCCCCAGTCCCCAGTCCCCCCTCCTGTCCAGACCTGTTTAATTAGAGACAAGAGACAAAGAACCATCCCTCCATCAACATGCTTGACAGTAGTTGAGATTGTTATAATAATTTCTGTTTGCGGTTCTCTAGAAAAATAGCCAAACAACTTTACTTTGATTTCATTTGACCAAAGCACATAGTTCAATAAATCTTGATGTTAACACAGATACAATATGGGAAATACAGGTTTGCTACTATGTTCTTATTTAGGGAAAAGATGCTTTCTTAAAGAAAAGCTTTCCAAGCTCCTCATATCTATTCAGTTTCCTTCCAATTTCAACTTAAACATACAGCATACTTACTCGTGTCTGTATCTTTTGATCTTTTTTTTTTTTATCCCTTTTTCCACAACTTCAGTTTGGGGTAAATTTGGTGAGATTACCATTGAGGAATAGATGGGAACCTACATTATATCTTTTATATACTCTAACATAGATTCAAATCACCTTATCCCTTCCCAGGCTGATGGGCAGAAACAGCTGCTTATTTCAGGTAACAGTTGATCTAAGTTCCTTGATTCTGTATGCTTGCCTGCCGGTACCAAAACACCCTGGTGCAACTTCCCGTCTATTCCCGTGTGGATATAACAAGTACTTCACACGTAGCAGTTCCATTTCAGTCTTAGTTTTGAAATATGAGGAAAAAAATACTATTTGGGTTCTAATGTGTCTGTAAACAGAGTTTGAATTTAAATGACTTAACAAGCTGGTGAAGACCGAATAGTTTAAGCTTAAAATGTAAACATATGGCATTGTTTTTATCTTTTTTTAAACGCAATTGTACAAAAAATAATGGAAATAAAAGAGCTGATCACCCACTTTTGTCTGAATGACAGCTTAGTTGTATCCTGGACTTTTTAACTAAAAGGCCACAAATTGTGCGAGTGAACAACATGCTTTCATAAAACAGCCTTATATCAACATGTGATCCTCATTTCCATCAGTAATATAGAGAAGTGTCAACAAAGACAGCCTCACCTGAGGAAGTTGGACCAGTTTTATGTCAGCAAGCTCTTCCTGTCCATAATCTACAGTTCATTCATAAAGAGCATGTAAACCTCGTCCTGCATCAAATGGTTTTACCCCATCTCTGTGCAAAATAAAAATTGTCTGCAGAGCATACGAGGTCTTTGAAAATTAGTGGTCTGCCAACAAGAGCTCTCTACACAGTTTGTGAGCGATATATAGGGAAAGCTATCTAGATCATATGGGAACCTGATCATCCTTTGTATCCTGAATTCACATGGCTGCCGTCTGGAGGTTGTAAGACCCAAAGAAGAAAGGCCACCTTTAACCTGAGGGCTGTTACTCTTCTCAACACTCAGCCATCTTTGAAGTGGAGCCAGCTGATGGTCCCAGCCTAACTATGAACTCCTGTTGCACTTTATTCTACATATGCACTCAACACTGTTAACAGTTGCATTAGCTGCTTTTCCCTCTGTAGTATGCTGTGCTACTCATGAGCTTCTTCGCCACCACCATCAGAAAGCTTAACTGGTGTGAAAACTCACAATATCCCAAAGAGAACTGCATATTTGCACCATACTGACTCTGTATGCTCTGAACTTCCATATCAATGCGATTTTTTTTGCCCCTTTTTTTTTTCCCACACTGTTTACCTTTGATCACTGCTGCACTTTAAGGAATGGGAATCAGAGGGAGAGAGTTTTTATAAAGAAAAATTGATTGAAAAATGGCAACAAAAAAATATGGTGGAACGAAAAAAAAAAAGGAAGATGTTTTTTTATAAAATTCAGAAGATAGTAGGAAAAAGAAGAAATGGAAGATGAAATAGAAAGGAGGAGAGAGTGATAATAAGGTTTAGATTTGGGTATAAAGGACTTAATTATAAACTTTTCAAAATTCAAAAGCAAACTACTGGCAAATGTGATTACTGTGGAAAATATAATACAACAGATCATGTTATACTGGAATGTCATAAATATGAAAGCGAGAGAAGATATATGAGGAGAGTTTGAATGTATTAAGGAAAAGATTAATTTATTAGATATTTTGAGGAAGAATTTGGATAGTAAACATATACAAATAATTATTATTAAAATTTTTAAAGAACACTAAATTATTTCATAGAATTTGATTATAGAGAGGGTGAATGTGTGTATGATATAGATGGGTAGAGTACAAAGTTATGTATAAGTATGTTGTTCTTTTTTTTTCTTTCTTAGAAATTGTATGTTTATTAGTAGTTAGTCCATCATGAACCACACTCCATACCAGTAAGTGGCAGTAATGCTACTAAATGTTTGTTGCCAACTGCCAATAAATCCAACAAGAAGAGGAGGAGGAGGAGAAGAAGAAGAAGGAGGAGGAGGAGGAGGAGGAGGAGGAAGAATAGGAATGTTATGAAAGCTGTACAAAACAAAATTTCTTTTTGTATACACTCTGTATATGCAAAATGACAATAAAAGCTGTCTAAGACCTAAGACCTCTAAGACCTAAGAGCCTTTAAATTGTCCCTCTAGGACAGTGGTGTCAAACCGGTTCCAGAAAGGGCCATGTGGCTGCAGGTTTTCTTTCCACCAAGCAATAGTACATCAGACTCCATTCATCTCATCAAGCCTTCATGTTAAGACTGGACTCACTTTATGAGATGGCTGGAGTCTGGTGTGCCATTGCTTGGTTGGAAAAAAAAAACCTGCAGCCACACGGCCCTTTCTGGAGCCGGTTTGACGTCTCTGCTCTGGGATAAATAAAGTTATTAAACTGAATTAAATACAGATGGATCTGAATAAAGAATTTTGCATATAAAATATTATTTAGTTAGACAAATATTTACAATAGAGTAGACTCATGTTAATAGAGTAGACTCATTATCCTATTCTCTACCTCTCTTAATGCCATTTGTGAAAATACAGTATAATCCCTGGCTTGTTTAGTTCTTGTTACTGTCTGCAAGAAGAAGAAAAAAACAAAACACAGATGCAGGTTATGTAAACCGATGGCTGATGGCCAGTCACTCCTTTGATGTCGTTGTGGGACCTCAGGGAGTGTGGCGCTGTTTCCTGCTCCCTGACCAATCATTTTAAACAAAAACATGCGGGGATAAACGGGGCGGCGCTGTTCAGCAAACAGGACAATCACACAGGCAGTGAGTGGATGTGTATTGGGCCTCACCCCCCACCGTCCGATGTCTCTCACACACATTCACATGCAGGGAAACCACGACGACGCGAAACCACGCCAAATTCTCCACACCAAACCAATGGTAGGTTCCCTTTCATCTGTTTCTAGGCCTGTAGCTGCAGCTAGCTTGATTGTCCGTAGATATTTTTTTGTCTAACACATTTATACACTCATATAGACTTCATTGTTATTATGCTTTATGTTATTATGCAATTCTGTCTCCGCGGTAGAAGCTTATCAGCATTAATTTCAAGCGTATCGCATGTAATTCAGGGGAAAAACTACACTCATCTTGCGACACTCCCAACATACGTTAAACATACATGTTAGAGCCAATAATAATATTAATATAAAAAAATATATATATATATATGTGTGTGTAATTATTATTTTCTAACTAATTTTTCGTTTAATTTTGACAAATGAAATAGTGTTCCAATCATTATGGGCAACAGGTGATCTCTTACCGGCCAGAATACGTGAGTGGCAGCTGATTTCGGCCAATCAGGTATTAGACCTTAGAGGCCAGTAGCCAATCAGATTTGTCCGCAGTGCCGGTGTGGGCGTTGCCCCAGCCGGACAGGATACACAAGCAGCAGAGCGGTGTCATCAGCCGTAGTTTCACTGAGGACGCAGAGAAAAACAGCAGCTAGAAAGGGTGTTGGTTTCTTGATAGGACGGTTTTTTTCTTCAGCCGTCGTTGCTGTGAGGACACGAAGAAGCAAAGCGATTTCAGATCGTTTTAACTAGAGAAGAAATCACACCTCGGTTCGAACAGGATTACATTTAACGTTTCTCCAAACAGGGCTCACTCTGAGGTAAGGGATCGCTACCTCTAGATAAGGAAGATCTATTTTTTTTCCCATTATATTATAGTATATTTTCTAAGGGCAGCTGGAGAATTGATTGTTTCGTCGTAAACATAAGGATCAAGAGAGGTTAATACAAATAAGATTCGTGTAATTCTATTAAAAATGTAAGCTTACAGCATTTCAGTGAGGTAGAGGAATATAAAAATGTGTTGAAAGCTCTCAAGCTGCTGCTTCTTTCACAGTAATATATGTTCCAGTTACAAAAAACAAAAAAGAAGTGTTGTTTATATAAATTGTTAATCCAGAATTTGATTGCTAAAAAAAAACCCTTACTGTAAAAATAAATATGATACATTATATATGTCTGGCCATAATATAAATGTCCTTTTTGTACCTGTAAAACAAATCCTTAAATATATCTCCAAATGAAGCTACAATTAGTTATTTAATTGTATTTAATAAGGCATTACTTTTAAATGATGGTTTACCAAGGCATATTTCCATTTTTGTTGGTTTTAAACCATGTTTGAGACGGAATATGACCTCTGATCCAAAATAACAATGCTTCATCTGCATGGCTATCACTTTTTGTTTTTTGCAACACGTGTCGATTGTAGCAAAAAGTGGCTGAAAAAGAGAGAATCAAAGTTTGGGAAAGCAAAGTTATCCTCAGCTTTAGGTTTCATCTCTTGGCTCCTCTTGAACAAAATGTTGGTTTTTGTCGTTTGCTTTCCATCTAGGGTGTGATGCTCATTGACTTCCTGCTCTGATTTGATTTGTAGGAATTTCTAACCTCCATGTAATACATTTCAACTGAAACATTTTCAAAGTCATTATTATAAGTAATAATGTCAGAGCAACAGGGCAATATTGAACTTTTGTGTTCAAGATGGCTGCTACTCACATCAACCCCGGTTAGACTTTTCTACTTAACAGTTTTAGCTGTTTTATGATATTTATGTAAAACCAGTTGTACGCGTATTGTTACTTATTGTAAATAAAACGTGATGTGCATGTTTACATGCACCAAATGTTGTGTTAAAAGAGTTTTGTTATTGTTGTAGCTGTTGGCTGTAAACAAACAGTGGGGAATATGAGGGTTCACAAGGAAGAATCTTAAAAGCTACGCCACTCCGAGTTCTGAGGTTAATGGAACGCCCCATAACTGCAGGTTAGATTTAATGTTGCCCCCAACAGGCTGGGGGTAAAAATCTCTCATTATTCTAACTGCAATTCCACCAGTTTTGCTTATAAATGGTAGCCTGAAAAACCAGACTAAATGGGAGAGGAAAGGTGTTATTTAGTCTGGCCCAGATTAATTTGAGACATCGGAAGATTGTTGATGGGAACAACCCGTTGTTTTTCAAACCATGTCTGTGACTATTGGCCAACGCACTGACCAATGAGGGCAATTGACTGTGACGTAGTAAGCGCTACAGAAAGCTGGTGAGGGAGTGTCAACAAACAGCCTGTCGGTAAAACGGCGAATACGTCCTTCTTAAACATGAATGAGTGTAGAGCCTCTTCCTGCTCACGTTTTGATTCCAGAGCAGGGTCAAAAATCGCCATCAGAGCCAGGGGTCCTTCACTCAAGACTATGCCGAAAGAGGGCCGCTGCTGTTAGCCCTGGCTGCCGTTAGCCTCTGAGGTCTGCTGGTTGCCGTGGTCCTCTCAACTTTGGAAATTGTTTTTTTAATTACGCATTAAATCGGTAAATGTACCATATAGTGACGCTTTAAAGTATAATATTCTCGCCTCAAATTACCTTAAAACATACTTTTATTCAACAACAGAAAGAGAACTTTTAACTTTCAATGGAGCGCTCCATTGAAAGCTGCTGCTGCCGCAGTGCATGCTACTGTTCAATAGTTGTTGCCATCTTCCTTGTTGTGCTTTCTCCAGCGTTGTGTAGCTTTGTCATCCCACCCTCAAAACCCAGCACGCTTTGCATCCAAACATTTAAAAAAATTATTTTGGCTGCTGGTGGGTGGGGCTAGTATACTAGGCTGTATTAATAGATCCAATTTATCTTCCAGTCATTTTAGTGCTTTCCAGTATTAGCTGGTGCAAATTGCCACCCATGTTCGTGATCTACCTACAATAAACAGCATTTGACCCCAATGTTTTTTGCAAACATTAGAAGCTACAAGCAAATTCCCAACTTGGAATCCAACAAAAATCCAACAAAGCCGTTGCATTTCTTCTTGATCGTATTTGGGAGATATTTAATGGGAGGATTGTAAACAATTCAATTTGTTAAAAAAAAAAAAAAAAATTATGGATAAATATGTTGAAAAGTTACCATTTTACTATGTTGGAAACTAGATATTCTTTCCTTATTTTGTAAAAAAAAAAAAAAAAAATGAGAGTTGAATTTTTTTTTTTTTAAAGTAGTATAACATGCTGATTTCAAATATTCGCCGTAAATACCAACACTGCAAAAACAAACTAGAAATAAGTAAAGATTCCTTAAATACATGTATTTACCCTTAACTGAGTAGGCAAAGACAAAGCTTGCCAATGGAATGAACATTTTTACTGTTAAAATAGGATAATTAGACAATATGCACTTGAAATAAGACAATGCAATTGATTTTTTTTTTCTTATTTTAAATGTAAATTGACTCATTCAACTGGCAAAGTGTCTCACTTACCTCCTCAATTCAAGAACAAACGCACTTATTTTAAGAAACAACTGTCCAGATTTCGATTTGTTTTTTGTAACCACTGTTTGAATGGAACATATTACAATAGTATTGTAAAATTTTTTCATTTTGTTTTTTTTTAACTGACCAGATTAAACGCCTGTCTCTCCATGCATCACTGGAAACAGCTACTGTCAATTATTCGGTGTTTCTATACAAAATTAATTAATTGAAAGCGCAAAACCCAAAGTTTATGCTAAAGTTTAGAGAGTTAATTTCTCCATTGTGAGATCAATAAAGTTTTATTTCTATTTCTTTGTTTTTCATGCCCGTGCATCTTGGAAGTGAAGTCTTTATTGCCCGTTGTTTGATTCAAAGACAAAAACAACCATAGTTAAAATCAGAGTTCAGTAAAACCTGCAGGTTACACTGAGAATATATATTTTTAATCTTGCATATAATTTGTGGAATCCCTTTATTCAGACCTGGACTTAAAAGCAGCATAAATGGAAAGCATTTAATAAAAGATGGCTTTCTTTTACACATAAACAAACAAGCTTGTAATTTATTTCATACAAAAAAAAAATATTAGATATTTTAGGAGGAAATTATCTCCATCTGCTGGTGTAGTGCTTTCTATTTGCTTAAATTTCTTTTTTTTTTCTGTAATGTCGCTTCTCTTTGTAGTTGTTTATTTAAATCATTGTTAATTCACATGTTTGAAGAAAATAACACGGATAATTTATTTTTTCAGGTTATTCCTGCTGCCTTTCTGGACCGTAAGCACCTTTGAGGACTGTTTCTGAAACCTCACTCATCTCCTTTTTCTATCCCCATGGGGAATGGACCATCTGAACAGTCGATGCTCTGCTCCAACATGTCGTTCTTCCAATCGTTTCACATCGCCATTCTGGGACTAGACTCTGCTGGAAAGACCACAGTCTTGTACAGACTGCAGTTCAATGAGTTCGTGAACACTGTGCCCACTAAAGGTTTCAACTCAGAGAAGGTCAGAGTGGCCCTTGGGGGCAACCGTACTGTTACCTTTCACTTCTGGGATGTCGGAGGGCAGGAGAAGCTCCGCCCCCTGTGGAAGTCATACACCCGGTGCACAGATGGCATCATCTTCGTGGTGGACTCTGTAGATGTGGAGCGCATGGAGGAGGCCAAGACTGAGCTGCATAAAATCACCAAGACATCAGAGAACCAGGGGGTGCCCGTGTTAGTGGTGGCCAACAAGCAGGACTTGAGGACGTCTTTGGGAGTGGATGAGATTGAGAAACTGCTCGCTCTAAAAGAACTGGGCCCCGCCACGCCCTGGCACCTGCAGTCATGCTGTGCTATCATTGGGGACGGACTAAGGGAGGGCCTGGACAAACTCCACGAGATGATCCAGAAGAGGAGAAAGATGCTGCGGCAGCAGAAGAAAAAAAGATAAACTAGATAAAAATGGATTTTCTGCTGTTTTTTTATGAAGGAACAATCTTTTTTTTTTTTTTCTCCCTGAGTGGATTTCCAGTTCCACTGCAGGTTCATATTTACTGTGCTGAGTTTTATCAGTCCAGATTCCCGGTCACAGTCGGGTGCTTCTATTGCTGTTGATCAGGAAGTGAAGGTAATGGGCTACAGTATGAAGAGGTGAACGTTTCAGGCACGTGTGGATGTGTTTTACAGAGGAAATACACAACGCTGAGGGTTTTTAGGGTCTGGAGGAGGGCAAAGCAGATGTTTAAAGGATTTCAAACAGTTTTTTCAACAATATTACCAAAAATAATTCAAGGCTTTGACTAGTTGAAGGTCTGAAGGGAAAAAGAGGTTTAAACGACGTCGCACAAGAGAAGCAGTTGTATTAAAGTGTTTCAAATGTTATTTGACGTTTTTCCACACTGGATTTTTTTGTTTTTTTGTTTAAAGAAAAGTATTATGAATTATTACAGTATCATCTGATTGTTTGCTGTCTTTATCTAGTAAAAAAAAAGCACTTTAGATGACCATTTCTGGAGTTTACAGCTTAAAATGGATCATATTGCGTTTGATTTTTATAGATATATTTGGACAGAAAATACTAATGTACAGTAGTTTTTCCACACTGGCTGAAATCGGAAAAAATATATATATGTATAATGTTTTGCTAAATAAAGTTTGTTTCGGACAGTGGTTTGGTTTTCGGTAATACTTTAATCCAACATTTGTTTGCTGCTAAACTCGAGCTTTACAGCCTTGGAATGTGTTGCCAGGGAAAGACGAAAAATGAAAACAGAGGAGCACCCAAACCAGTTTCTGCAGAGGAACGGCTGACGTGGGACACGTTGTTCTGCAGCTCATTCACACGAAAACAAAGGGCATGCTCAGTCAGCTGGAACCTCTAATTGTCACTTTACAAATTTGCCTTTGGTTTCATTGGATGCAGTGTGCACACTAATTGCACTGACAGATGAATGCACCCAAAAACCGAGGGCATCTTATAATGATTGAAGGAGAACTGCAACGTGTCTAGCTGCAGTTTTTCAGGGAAAATGATCACATGCTGCAGGCTTCATTTTAACTGAAACACAAGATGATGTGTCATGGTGCAAAAACATAACGGAATGCAAATTCTCCACACCTCTGTTATTACATGTTATTTTATGTACAAAATGAAACTGGGAATCATTTCAGAGTTTTTTTTTTTCCATGTGACCTGTCACACAGGATTGAAACTGATAAACAGAGTGATCAGGTTGCACAAGTTTACAAACTCTGAAATAATAAGCTGCACACTGATTTAATTACAGCTCTTCCATCAGCCTGGCACTTCTTGTCCTTGCCTCAGTTCTTAAAAAAACAACAAAAAAATGTTAGAACTATGTAGATATCCCCTGTTCTAAGCCCCTTGCAGAGTCTCAACCAGATTGAGCTCTGGGCTGGACACTCTGGTCCTTCTCTACCCCCAAAGACTAAGTTCCTTTTCAAGCTGAGACTTAAATATTTAGTGCCACTGTTTTGTATTTAGAGCTTCTAAATTTTTACCAAGGTAACTGAAGGCCCCAGTTCCTGCTGAAAAAAACTGCCAAAGCATAATGCAACCACCTCTGTGCTTTACTGTGGGCATTTCAGTTTTTTTTTTGGCTGATGGAAGCTATTGTATTTGACCCTAAGCAACCTTTTTGAATACTGTTTTAACAGGAATGTTGCAGCTCGGTCTCATCTCTCTCCATGTACCCCATGTCTGTCTGTTTATCCACCATTGCAGCTTTTTGGGGATCATTTTAAAATACGGATTTGCTCTAAGATCCCCACAGGGTTTTGGGAGATTCCATTTTCCTGAGATCCAACTAGGAAAATCTCATGAAAGTTAAACTATTTGGGGATTGATCAGAGGCACTGTAAGGTGTAAGCTTACTCTTATGTTAATGTTGAATGCACAATTTGGTAGTTACAAAACAAGTCGAACATCCAAGCAACAGGAGTATTTCATTTTACTTTTTATTTAATAGGTTGTTGGTTAAAGATACAACAGATTTGAAATTATGTCAATTTGTTCTTTTAACATAACATAAATCTGACATCTTTTCAGAGGTATGCAGCTTTTTTTTATATATATCCTGCAGTAGCTTGAGGTTGTTGTTAAAGTCTAGAGGCCAAACCCCGTGAAACAGGTTGGGGCAGGACACTGTAAAGTGGCATGTCTGAGTATTTTTGGATTACAGTTGGATGCACAGGCCTGTGCGTCAACGTCACTTGTTTCCCAATCCTTTATTAACCCTAACAAAGCTGGTGGTGCAGCTGCCTTTCTAAAACACCACTGATGTAGACGGATAATTCACTAATTGTTTCACTGTGATTATTTCAGCCAATTATGTGCTATGAATAAGATCTTTATTATTTGAGACTGTCTAAAAAGAGGACAATCAAACCTCAAAATAGAAAACCGTAGCTTTCCTATTAGATTAAGCATTTAAGTAAAGTACTAAACCTACAAGTACAAAACAGGGGGTAGCTCCCTGACCAGGTGGTTCTTGCCCAACTTGTTTGCTAAGGAAGGAAACTTTTAAGAGCAAAGGCATTCCTGCACTTTTCCTGACTCTGTTTCCCTCTCTTTGCCTGCTGCACTGACTCTTTCATTACTTGTGTCCTGTCCTGCTTGGTACACAGACGGCCTCAGGTCTTCATTTTTCTCTGTTTTTGTTTCATCTGAGCACTTACGGGGGGATCGTTGTCAGGAAGCTTGGTTCCTCCCTTGGGTTTTGTTTTTGCTGACAAATTTAATTCAAACCAAATCACATTTTACTTGAGTCTGTCTGTTCTGACCTTTTAGCCCCTCTTATTATTCTTGAATAGTTCAGGAAATGTTGATTACAGCAAATCAATCCCGCAGTGCCATGTTACTCCTTGCTTCATAATATCTTCACGTCATACTGAATTTCTTTGGAAATGGGGTTACATCACTTGTTCATGTATTGCAAAGCCTGTGGCATAATTGACTTTGGCAGTTACCAGCAAAGTCAGTTGGATTGTGATACAACTTAAAGCATTAGGCACAAAATGTTCTTATTCAGAGCTACAAGATGGGAGGAGCTTCTGGCTCCCTCAGGGCTTCTCAGAACGTTCAGAGTTTTCTTTTAAAGATATCTTCTTTATTACTCAGCACGGTCACACCCTTAAACAGTTAAACAGAAACCCCTTATCAAGCAGTCACTTCTATATGTCACTGCTCATTTTCTATTTAAAAAAATTTCAATCATGGCTTGTTTTCCTCCACAGCCTCTCTTAGAAGGTTGATAATAAAGTCATTAAATCTTAATTTATTTTTGTTTCAGTTAAAGAAAAAAGAAAAATCCTCACTGTAACATTTAGTTATAAAATTTCAAAAACTTTAAGGTTCTTAAAATATTGAATGCCTTCATTTTTAACTAAGTAACTTCTTTTATTAGTTGAAAGGCTTTTAAATTAAATAGCATTTTAAAGAATAATCAAAAATCTCTAAATGTATTTAGGTTGGATTCATACAGGTTTAGTTTTGCATGGATAATAAAACTGCAGATCTTTTTGTTCATTCTTAAATCTTTTTTGTTTTGCTTGGTTAGTTTAGTTAGAGATTAACTGAAATATTTGAATTTTGAGTAGAATCACTTTTGATTATGAATGCTACTCATTTTGGGAAACTTGTTGTGTTTTATACATGAAGGACTAATTTTTAACTGAACGGCAGAGCTCCAATGACCTCTTTATCTGTTGCTCTCTTATACTACATTGCATTTCACAGGATGGTAATTGAAAGACCGACTGAGAGCTGTTTGGTTGAAATTAAAAAAACCAAACCCATAATTGCACAACAGCACACATTTAGTACGCTAAGCTGCTCTACAATTATCCAGTATAGACATACAAAGACCTGCGTGAAATATGATATCTTCTCTTGGAATGGGACTACCCAGAAACATGCTTGTTAAACCGTCATCATTTTAAATACATAGCATGAGGTTCTGGTTTTGCCTGCATGTCACTATGCTCTTCATTTTCCCATAAACCCTTCTCCAGGGGGTTCTCTTAATCTGCTGGGTTTTCACATTTCATCCCATTTCGTAAAAAGGGAACATTGCAATCTATGCACACTTGAAGCGCCATTATTATGCAAGGTTATCATGATGGGATTCATTTTTCTCCCTGCAGTCTATTGAGAGTTAGTGGCCTATTTACATGTGAATTCCTCCCGCAGCCCTGCTGAAAGTAGAGAACGGGGCCACCTGCAAGGAGAAGGAGGGGGAGTGTACTCCTGTTTCTTTAGTTTTAGAGGAGAAACTTGTTTTAGTAATCCTCAGACTGCTTAAGGGAGCACAAAGAAAAAAAAGATACGAAAATACTTGATAAATAAATGATGATTTTCGATTATTCATTAAAGATAAAGGATAAAATAAAATTTAAAAAACCAAACATTTTAAATCCTTTCTAGTAGATGTCCCACCAAAGTCACCCCTACTTAAGACCATACAATGACCAGTGAAACTAAAGAACCAAAGACACTCCTTCTTCCCTGCCCCCACCCTCAATACACACTTATCTTAACACACACACACAAACTTGTCACACTATCTTTATGGGGCCTTTCCATTGACTTCCATTAATTTCTACGGCCTTACCATGACCTTTACCATAAACCTAACCATTACTGGTTCATACTGTAACCCAACATAAACTCAATTCACACCTTAGTCCTAAACATGACTCCTGACCCAAAAATCCCCTCATGGGGTCCAGGCGTTGGCCCCCCCACAAGGAGCAGTTGGTCACAACAACATGCTATTTTTCCAGAAAATAGACCTCATAATTTGTGAACACACAAGCCACATAGATACAAACACCCATGCTAACAATCAGACTTATTGGCCCATCTCATTAACTGGACTTGCGCTAGCTGCACTTCATGGTAATGGGTTTTTATTACATATAGAAATATTATTTATTTATTTTTTTTTTATTTAACCTTTATTTAACCAGAAAGTCCCATTGAGATTCAGAATCTCTTTTTCAAGAGAGACCTGGCCTTGGTAGCAGCCAAACCACAGGAAGTTCATACATACAGTATTTACAACATATTACATTTTTCATAATAAAATCAGAGCAGTATGTCAAAACACATTGAGCATCTCAGGAAAAACAGAGTTTCTAATTTGAGCTCTTTCTGGAGGTTATTCCATCCCCAAGGTGCAGAGTAGGAGAATGCAGGTTTTCCCAACTCAGTTGAAGCTCGGGGTACATTAAAAAGTAACCACTGACAGGAGCGCAACTGATAACTACCAGAACTCACAACTCAAATAT